TGAGGGAGTATCAGTCTCGAATCCACCGTATGGATGTAGCTTTGAGTAATTGAGACGATAGACAAGGGCCAGGTGGTGGAGGGCAGGAGAATAAAGTAGCCAAGAGGAAGGGACAGGGGCAGGGGGTAAGGTCCAAGTGGGAGTCGCGAAAAGGCGAAGGTGTGGCGCAAAGGAGTCACGGGCAGGCATTAGTAGCTTAGGCAGTGTGCCAATGATTCCACAGCTACCCAACGAGTACTTGTTTGAACTTGTTACTGGTGACTCGCTTGCGGGCGCTGCACGAAATCAGGGCTCAAAGCATGTACTTGTAATAGTCCTACTCCACAACTTCCAAACGCAGTTGAAGATCGAGTTTGGACCGTTGACACACGGACCCCTACCTCAACGCCTGCAGTTTCAGCAATTGGGAAAGCTTGCGTGTTGCCTCCTTGCAACGAGATGATGACGCATTTGCGTGCTTTCGCTGTTCTATCATGGGTGATCCAAACTCCTTTTCTACTGCATCAAAAAAAGGCGTAGGGGCGGCGTTCCGCCGATGCAGCCCATTCACACCTGTCAAGGTCTGAAGCACATGAGATGAAAACTTGGCAGAATGTAAAAGCCTGACTCATTACCAGTGCTATTTCTTCATAACCATTCAAGTATACGACCGTATACCCCAAAATCTTATCCGAATCATTCAGCCTTCTATATCCCGTGCCAAAGCACAGTACGCCATTTCAAAGGCCCGTTCGAGAATCTCAGCGATGCTTGCCAGCAAAAACGTACCAACAGTTGTGAGTTCGTCTACCCATTTTTTGGGTTGAAGTTTCGAGATGTGGAGACTCTAAGCCCAAAACCCTAGTTCTCTAAGCCCGAACACCTAAGCCCTAATTGTAGGAACCATGTTCTTTTACATTGTTGCGGTGGGTGGAATGCATAGGCAGGGATTGAGTTTGAAGGCTTAGGGTTTGGGGTTCAGGTGTTTATGCAATGCTTCAGTAGCCCTACTGACTGAGCAACCTAAACAGAATTGCAGGCATGAGGGTTGAAAGGTGGATGGGGAACTACTCTTTTCAAGGGCGGTTAGTTACTGAGTGGGTATGGATGCTGAGCTTCGTGAATGCCAAGGAACGACCGAGTCTAAACCAAGTCCAACGAACCCAGCCCCACCAGGGAACACGAAAGCCCCTCCACCCACAAAATGTCAACCTCCCCGCTCCCTGAGAATGAGCAGCAGGTTTGGGGATTACATTGTTACAACTTTAAAGCGCAGCTCATGGTTGATGCTGCGGAAGATTGTTTAGAGCTTAGGGCTTAGGCTCTACAAGGAATACCCCGTACTGAGATCTCGGCCAGACAGAGCACTCTGGTCAGACTTCGCGTCTTGTGCGCAAAGCGAGACAACGGCACTCCTGTGGGAATTCACGTCTCTCCCACACAGTCAGGCAGAACATTCTAATGAGATTGCATGCAAGAATGTGTGGTCCTCACAACGCAGCAAACCGCGCTAGTCAGATATCCTTTCTGCTGCATGCAGCCAATACAAGCAGTTGTGTGATATCTAGTGTCTGCTTCAGCGTGATCTTACTGAACGGTGGTGGCCGCGGCATGGGCGTCCAACTTGTCCTCCGCAAAGCGGAAAGCCAACTTACAGCCAATTCCGAGGTCCGCCAGTAATACTAGGGTTTAGGGGCTAAGGGGGTTAGGGTTTAGGGGCTAAGGGGTTAGGGTTTAGGGTTTAGGGTTTAGAGGTCGTCCTCGTAAGAAAGACATCTCCCTTGCCCGAACATGTCCCTGAGGCGAAGACGGCTTCAGAACTTGAGAGCCGTTGGTTACCTTGGGTTGGAACGCTCACCGCCATGGTCTAGAGGTTCAGAACTCTTGGCGTGGATTTAAACTAGTGTAACAACTTCGAACAGCGCAAGAAAATTGGCCTCAGCAAGAAGTCCATGTGCAGGGTAGATTGGAGTAGCTTCGCCAAACAAGATGCTGGCACGACATTGCCTAGAATAAAAACAGGGTGCTAGCTGCTCATCCTGCACATGTTTTCTCGCCTCAGCCGGAAGTGCAGCCACTGTGGACACTACTTCAACAAGTCCTTTGGCAGCAACCTCCTGAACCCTGCTCCAAGAACATCACAGACCCCAAGGCCATAAGCCTTCAACCCCAAGCCAGCAAACTTACTGGGGAGTAGTAGGGAAGAAGGGAACGTATCATTTAGGGATTTCATAGAGATTACATTCCCTTATTGCCTACTAACCCTAAACCCTAAACCCTATGACAGAGGGATAATGTTCCCTTATGCCAATAAGTAAAGGACACCCACGATGCTGATCTACGCTGTGCCTTCAACCTACTGGAGTCAGGACCTGGGTGTCAGGCTTTGGTTGCCAGAATTGGGAAACAAGGGGTTCAGGGTACAGGGATTTAGGGTGTAGGGTTTTTGAGGTTTAGGGGTTTAGGTGGTTTAGGGTACAGTCCCTCAGTCGAACAAATACATGGGACCCTGGGATGGGCGGGAACATCCGTTCGGGGCTCCATGTTTCGATGCGATTCAGTGAAGGATGACGCTAAGCCTAAACACCAAACCATACAACTGCCCTTCAAAAGCGAAGTCATGTACCAGCTGCTTATTGGGCTTAATAAGCACTAGGCCCTAAACTTATAGAATCCATTATAGTCTGTAGTTTCCATGTTATTTTCCATTTTCCCGATATAACCCCAATATGGCCCTAATATTACTCCAATGGGCACCTGTATCCCCTAATGCCTATTGGACTACCACTTTGTGCGTGTGATGGTTCCCCTTGCTTCACTAGAGGGACTTTACTGGTAACCCCAAACAGGGAACCCCAAGAATATCGTAGGAATATACTAGGAATATACCTACCAGGTTACCAGGCTCCTTATATTCCATTACATTTCTACTTTATTCTTGGGGTTCCCTCTTTGAGGTTCCCATTTCAACCCTTTTAATCACTGCGGTCAACGTGCATGGTGCTGCGCTTTAGGTTGCTTCAGGTGTTATGCTTCTTTTGGGATAAGGGAAAAGAATATGGAAGCTACTAATTATAGCATCTTTGGGGTTATGTAAGGACAATGGAAAAGGGAATGGAAACTACTATAGTATATTGAGGTGATATAGAAATAATGGAAAAGGAAATGGAAACTACTATAGTATATTTGATTTATTTAGGGATAATGGAAAAGAAACTGGAAACTACTATAGTATATTGGGGTTATATAGGGATGATGGAAAGGAAAATGGAAGCTACTGTTTAGGGTTTAGGGCTATTCTTGCCATCCATTCTCCCAGAAGTTGAACACGTGTGTTTTGTTTCAGGTCTGGGCGGCGTCTATTCTCAACTTTACTTGTTATTTGGTTGTGCAGTGTCATGCTTCCCTGCATTTGGAGGCCTTCGAATATCGACGTATGTAGAAAGACATGTAGTAATGTTTGGAGCATGTGCATGCGTAGGGGAGGTGCTTTGTGTGCAAGGCCACGTCAGCTGTTCAGCTTCAACTTCCCAACATGGGGAAGGTCCTGTCACTGTGTGTTTCTAAGGGCCCTGTCAATGTGTCAAATGTACGATCACGGAGGGAATGCCAAAAGATAATGAACGCCTCGCTGAAACCCGTGATAGAGCGCTCGCTCAGAAGCAGTCCAAATCATACACAGGCCTAGATACTTTCCAATATTATAGTCCGAGATTGTTGTATAATTCTGGTAGAGGGTACCACAAATACACCCCAAAAGGGACATTGGTTCCCTACACCCCGCTATGTATTTGGGCTCCGACAGTAGGTCCTCCGCATGTAAATGACAAGTACCTGCGTGACAGTTGGCATGGGACTGTCAAGGAAACTTCCAGTACAAGGGCTTGCGGTATAGGGCTTAGGGTTTAGGGTTTGGAGCCTAGGTTTGTTTAGGATTAGGGTTCAGGCTTAGGGTTCAGGTTTCAGGGCCTAGGTTTGTTTGGGATTTAGGGTTCACGGTAATTAGTTTAGGGTTCAAGCTTTAGGATGCAGACTCAGCAAGCTGAGCCGAACTTCCTTCATCACGAACTCTGAAAGATTGAATGGTTTAGGGTTTGGGTTTAGGGTTAGGTTTAGGGTCCCTAAACCCAACACCCTAAACGGTTTAGGGTGTCTGCAGAGTCCTGAACCTTGAAGCAGACCAGCCTACTTACCAAAGTCATCCACCAGCTAGCGGGCTCCAACCCTGAAACCTGAAACAAACCCTGAACGGAAAAAAAAAAAAAAAAAAAAAAAAGAACCCCCGAAAGGTGAGCCCATGACCGATTACATTGGGACATTGGGAACCCTAAACCCTAAACCCTAAACAATGATGGGGAAACCGGAGCTTCAACTATTGGACCTTCCGAGACGTCTGGGAGAAGGGAAGCTTGGTTTAGGGTTAGAGTTTAGGGTTTAGGGTTTAGGGCATACCGGGTGTTGCTAAAGGGGGTGGAGGAAGGAATATTCCTTTCACAGGAAGGGGGGATCCACTGCCTGAAGCACCATTTAGATCAGCGGCAAGAGCATTGATAACAGCAAGATCTGAGTAATGATGATGACATTGAGAATACGAGCACAGAGTAAACTTTGGGCCTTCATGATCAGAAATAAACACAACTATAGCAGAATCAAGAATAATAAGCTAAACCCGAAACCCTCAACTAATCACAATGTCTTCCTCGTCGGTGCGGACGACCCCCGACAACGAGGCGGTGCGGGTTGAGGCGAGAGGCTGCAAAACATCAAGCTCTTTCACAGCCTGATCCTCAACCAAACTAACAGGGGAAGCGCAAAACAACCCCAATATAACCCTAAGATAGCCCCAATATAGCCCTAATATAGCGCTAGTATATACCCGATATAACCCCAACCAACACAAAAAGGATGAGCTCCCATCCCTAGATCTTAAGAACCAAGGACTAGTGCGTACTTACAAGTCCTCAGCTTCCATGTTTGTGTAAGGGAGGGCACATGCGGCAGTTGAACTGCAGACGAGGTACGCTCGAATGACAAACGCCACCTCAGAACTGGAGCGGCCGTAGCCGGAGGAAAATGCATGGAGCCCTAAGGGTCCAAGGACCCCAATAGTAGGGTTTTGGGGCCAAAATACCGAGTATTTGGGCCCTAAAACCCTATTATTTGCCTTGGACGCTTAGGGGAGGCTTCTGGAAGAGGGTACCCTGGAGGACCTCAGTCTCTATATGTAGACCCCAATATACTATAATCCTTATTATGGAGGCCCCGAAAGGCACCCCTAATTTTGGCAAACTCCCACACGTTGAGATTATGTTGGGATGCACCATTGAGGATACTGCTGAGATACTCCCATATGATGCTGCAATGAGGGACAGTAAACCTTTCACAGACGAAGGAAATAAACCTTGGCCCACTCCTGAAACCTCAAACCCTAAACAGCAAACCCCTAAAGCGTAAACGCAGAACCCTCAGCCCCAAACCTTAACTGCAACACCCCTAAACCCTGCGGCATCTTTGCAAGTATCTTCCACAGACCCCCGAGAAGGGGCCTATATAGAGATTTACAATCATTTCTAATGGATGCTATGCGAAGTTGCCAACTTACTTTGTGGTATTTGCACCCCAAAACCTGTTTACGGTTAATTATATCTGAAATACCGCCCTACTTCGGGGTTTCCAAAAAAACGGAGGGGTCCCTTTTCACGCTTTTGGGGGCCCAATACTAATAAGGATTGTAGTATTTCGGGGTCTATATTCTGTTACCCCCATTTATGGAAACTACATGATACCGCTATACAACCCCACTAAACCCTAAACCCATGAACCCCAAAACCTTAAACCCCAAACCCTGAATGGAACCCCCAACGTCCGAGACACCTCGCTTCTGAGTCGGAATTCGCCCCCTGAGCAATCGAGCGCTGCATTCAACGCCGCTCGCACGGCTTCGCACTTGGAGACGAGGCTCGCCTCACAGGGCTTAGGGGTTTGGGGTTAAGGGCTTCGGGTGGCGTAGGGAAAAGGGGGTGGCTTTCGGGACCCTAGGGATCTAAAGGGTGTTAATGGGATTATGGGGGGAGGCTCCCGATTAAGGGCTCTTTACGGGACATTTTGAGAAACTCTCTCATGTGAGCCATTGTCTGAACTCCTAGTATCCCCCTAAATAGCCCCTATAGTAGTCCCCTATATAATCCCCTATACATACCCCCATTAAGGAGTTTAGACCCTAAACCCTAAACCCTAAATCCTAAACCCTAAACCCTAAACCCTATACAATCCCCTATATAACCCCCCTCTAAGGAGTTTAGACTACAGTTCATTTTGAGAAACTCTCTCATGTGAAGAAGGTGGACACACCAAGGTTTCAGGGGTTTGGAGCTTAAGCTTGAAACATGATGACTTGAGGGTTTAGGGTTTAGGGTTTAGGGTCCAGGGGTGAGAGTTTAGGGCTTTAGGGCGTATGATGCAAAGCTCCACATGGGAAACCCTAAATCCTAACCCTCGTCCCCAAGCCCTAGACAGCAAAGCCCTAAACCCTAAGCCCTAAATGCAAGGCTGGCGGGGCGCCTTCCGCGATCGCAGGGTTTAGGGTTTAGGGTTTACCCTAAACCTAAAACCCCAAACCCTAAACTCGCAACCCCCAAAGCCCCGAACCCTAACCCGAAACCCCCAACCCCTAACCCTAAACCCCTGACCCTAAACCCTAAAACCCCAACCTCTAAACCCTAAAGCGCGCGGCCTTCCGTGAGCGCAGTTCATGTTGGCTCTCCAGAATCCTCCAGCTGAGCGTCAAATTGGGCTCTTGAAGCAGCTGACCTGAACTTACTCAAGGTTTGCTCCAAAGGTTTTTCAGGTTTAGGGTTTGGGGTTTAGATTCTTTGGGGGGGCGGAGGGGGGTGGTTTAAGGTTTCGGGTGTAGGGTTTAGGGTTTAAGGGTTGGGGTTAATTTAGGGTAGGGGGCACCCAGGGACCCCAATTTTGTGGGACTATAAGGGGATTTGGCGGCTGTCTTGAGAATTACTTTGAATTCGAAGCTAAAAAAAGGAATTTGGCAAGAACTTACAACTGGGCTCCTGACCCTACTTTTCACTGGGGTAAGCTGCCCTAAACCCTAAACCCTAAACCCCAAACCCCTAAACCCCTAAACCCTAAACCCTAAACCCTACACCGCCTGGGGTTAGGAATCCAACCGTTACAGAAACTAAGCCCAAGGTTCCTCCAAGTAGGAGCAGTGTTTTTTGAGGGTTTAGGGTTTAGGGTTTCATAGGAGTAGTGTTTTTTTGTGTTTATACCAGGAAAGAGTATATTCCTTATATAAAATACTATACCCAGAAGGAGGATATCATCTTACTCTATAGTGGGTACCATAGTACCCCCAAATAAAATACTACTCATAGGACCGCGAGAACCCGTTCATGATCCCCATGCATCCTGAGGGTTTTTAGGGTAGGTACGCCTTTTTGAGTTTAGAATTTAGGGTTTAGCGTTGGCTTCTCAATCAGAAGCCTGCATATGATGACTTGCATGTATAGGACTATGTTAAGCAGCTCTGGGATGTGCCACCTCTAAAAAATTTCCATGTCCAAGGTTGGGCAGCTCTCGTGAAGTGAACGTCCTTTGAGGTCTTTCTGCTCATGCACCCTGCAGGCCCTACACTACACCCCAAACCCTACACCCAATCACCCATGATTCGTTAGCGAGTCCTAGAGCAGCCCTGCGGCGCATGTCCTTCTCGGCTTGACGCAGTTTATGCTCATCCCCAGGCTTCACCGCCTATCACATTGGGGCGATTGAGTTTAAGATCTAGGCTTCCGACGACTCACCGCCTACAACATGCCTCCGTGGGGGTTCCTATCATCTAGCGTGTACCATGTGCAGCATATCAGATATAGTCTACTCCTCGTATCCCTCCTAATAACCCCTGTAGTACTCGCCTAGATAGCCCCCCTTCAAGGAGTTTAGACCCTAAACCCTAAATGATCCCCTATATAACCCCCTTTAAGCTTTCAGGAGTTTAGATTATAGTAAATATGGGGCTTATCAACGTGGAGCTACCCCTACACACCGCTGCGCTAAGGGAGGATGTTCATAGGGGCAGGCCTCTGTCATAATGGCCTTCGGTCCCAAAGTACTGCGTGTATAGGTTGTCATTGGAGGTCTACATGATGCTCATTTGCAGGGTCCCTAAACCCTAGACCCTGAACCCTAAACCCTAAGGGGCAACTGGGTGCTCGCGCAGAATATTGATAGGTTAAGGGTTTAGGGTTTAGGGCTTAGGGCTTGCAGCTGCAAGCGTCGCGCCTCGACCCAGGAGGTCGTGGGCGGCGCGCCGCGC